TGTTTTAAGTTTAAATTTCAGCTCAGTGAAGCAGTTTAAGCACAAGAACTTCATCAGTACCGTATTTTCTGGACTATAAGGCGCACCTAAAATCCTTTAATTTTCTCAAAAGTGCGCCTTATGTATGAGTTCTGGTTGTGTTTACTGAGCTCGAACTGATTTCATGTGGTACATGGTTCTCAGCAATCTGTCACAAATGTTTCAGTACGACTTTGGTAACCGATGAAGCTGCACGGCTGCATAGATTGTTGGAGCATTACGGCTACCGTAGTCTGGAGCCTCGTGGAGTGATACGTACTGTGCTTCAACGCAATATTATTGTGTGTGTATAAGGAGCCCAAAATGGCTCCTGATAAGAGACATGCTTATGAAGCGGATTTCAAGTAAAGTTTGACCTATCTATTTCTTTCTCTTAATGCGCCTTAAAATCCAAAAAATCCGGTAACGTATCTTTTTTGTAGAAATGTGCTCCAAATAAAGAAGTTTGTGTTGACAAGACTGATAGGTAATCATTTACAAATCAATATTGTCTGTATGGACGGTCATTTTTAAAAAGTGAACGTGTAAAGGCACTGCGGTTGAAACATTTGGGTGCGCCTAACTTTGGTGCTGGCGCACCAGTGCAACCATGGCAACAAGTTAGTCTAGAGCCCTGGATTAGGTACTACTGAAACATACATGACCTCATGATGTCATGGTGACGTGGACAGCGTGGAAATACAGGCTTTCAGGATGATGGAGGTATTAAACTGAAGATGAACCTTTATTGTGGCGAGCTGAAAACTATGCCCATAACACGGTTTAACAAACACATTATCCTCAGGCTTGAGCGGCTGTTTTTGTCTCCATCTCAGTGGTTTAATGAGGTTCTCTTCTCCCTCTGAAGGACTGACGATGGCTCAGGTCCGTCTGTTTTTAGAAACAGTGATCACTGCAAAGGTTTCGTCCTGTCAGGCAGTTTTTACTGGAGACCACACAGCTGCAGAACTCTGAGCAGCATCAAAATAAAGTGCTTTTCACTGGTTTTACTGGAGCTGTAGCTCACCACTGGTTCTTCTGTTACAGCCCTGATGTAGGTGCAGCAGCTCTACTCTATAACACGACTAAGGGCGTAAGTCCTCTGTTATTAAACAGTTTCAGTCTGTTTGATTAGAAATGAACCATATTTACCCACACATGCTTAGATGTCTGCTTTCTACAAGTAAATGTAGGGACTGTAAAACAAATGTTTACAGGAAACAGATCATATTTATATCACGAGTACGCTGTAGTTTATAACAGAGTGGATTAATCCAGCCTCTTCATATCCCTGTGTTTTATATCTGTATCTTATACTCACTATGTTCATGCACATGAAAGATGTTCCTTTCACTCCCTCCCTTTACAGATTTACAGCACAGCAACGGTGAAGGGAAAATAAAACGTTTCCACCGTCATCATGAGGTCACATGTGTCTGAAAATCATGACAGTAGTTTTGTTCCTTCACTTATAACACCAGGTGTGTCTGTACCATCAGGATCTGCTGCTTTTATTCGTACCTGTCTGGTGATTTTCAGGTGTGGTCACATGACGTGCATGCAGGTTGTTTCCTGTTCAGTTGTCAGTAGACGGAGGATTCCAGCTGGCTTTGAGTCTTTATCTGTGTGTGTGTTGTGGCGCCTCCTGCAGGCC